GGCCTCCTTCAGATGCCGTCAGCCAGACAATGCCGGCTGGTGGCTCCCCGGAGGAGAGCCTTCTCTGTGGCTGCTCCGACTCTCTGGAACCAGCTCCCCCCGGAAATCCAGACCATACCCACTCTCATGGCCTTCAGAAAAGCTGTTAAAACCTGGCTATTCCGGCAGGCCTGGGGCTGTTATTCTCACTGTTGAGGTCCAGCCCCGATCGTAACGAATGTATGCGTGTTGATTTTAACCTGTTTTTATTTTCATTTTTGATTATTTCTTTTTTTTTCTCTCGTTGTAAGCCGCCCGGAGTCCTCTGGGATTGGGCGGCCTATAAATCGATTAAATAAATAAATAAATAAATAAATAAATAAATCCCCAACAAGTTTATTCCTGCTTCTGGTATATACAACATTTCTATTTTTATTCTTTGCCCCTCATTTTAAATACTTATTTCCATACTTGGGCACATCAAATCCTTCTCCTTTTACTCGAGAGACTTTAATTGTCTGGCCACTCAGCTTCATTTCTGATATTAATACCGAAACTGAGGTCCAAGCCACCCCTGTATCCACTAAAAACACTATTTTTTCCTCCCTGGATCCCACTACTAAATTTATCAAAGGGGCTCTCCATGGGACCAAAAAATAAAGCACCCCTGACACCCCTAATATTGATTTTCACCTTCCTCCATCATATTATACACTTGCACATCCCTTCTTTGGACAGGACAATCTTTCTTAAAGTGTCTGGGCTGGCCACACCCAAAACATCTTCTTACTCTTTCTTCCCATCCCATTCCTCCTACATTCCCTCATCCTCTTCCTCTACCCAATTCCTTTGGAATGGGTCTAGGATTTGGAGGTGCTTATTCTTTACTACTTCCTTTACTGTAGCTACCATCATTCTTCCTTTTTTCTTCACCTTTTCTTCCTCCCTTTGTACATACACTTTCTGAGCCTCCTTCAATAATTCATGTATGGACTTAGCTGTCCACCCAGTGGTGGGTTTCAAATTCTTTTAGAACCTCTTCTGTAGGTGTGGCCTGTTTTGTGGGAGTGGCTTGGCAGTCATGTGACCGGGTGGGAGTGGCTTGGCNGGAGCCCCGGAATGCAAACATAACAATAAAGAACCAGGCACAAAGAAAAACATGGGACTCTCTACCCATCCAACACTCTTAATTTTGGGAAGAAAATGTTGAAAAGGGTGGGTGGGGGGGTGCGTGTAATCACGGGGGTTTCGAATAATTGAAGAAAACTTACTGCGAGTGCTTGATTTCCTGCATTAGTAGTTACAGGCACAGTGTGTTTTAAGGACGCGGCTTTCCCCTTGTCTGTGAACGATAGAAATTTAATTCTTTTTTTCCAAAACCAGACGCTTCCTGCCAACACGCTTACCATCTAAGAGGGGCTGGTCACGAAAGATCATGGCCGTCGCTTGATGAGTGGGTTTTTGGGGGCGCCGATTGGCACCAGGGACGAAAGGACCTCTTTCTTAAGGGTTAATTTTCACCCCCTTCTTCCCACCCGCCTGGGCTACTTGAAATGCCTCTGAAGAGCACTGGTAGTTCTCGGCTTACGACAGTTTATTTGGTGACCAAAGTCACATCAGCAGTGAGAAAAGTGACCCAGGGTCCTTTTTCATAAGTTACAGCCTTTGCAGCCTCCCTGCGATCGCGTGATTCGAATTCAGGCCCTTGGCAACTGGTTCATAGTGGCCACAGGACCGTTATGGTGTCCCGGGGCGAGTGGTGCGGTGGAGCTCTCGCCTCGCGATCGGGAGGTTGTTGAGTTTGATCCTAGAGGTAGAGGCAGATATTTCTCTCTCAACGAGAATCTATCTGCCGAACAAAACTCCGCACTGGCGACAGGGAAAGGCATCTGGCCAGTAAACACTATCCTAGCTCCATTCAGTTGCCCAGATTCCACCTCACAAGGGATTACGGGGTCGTTAAATGACTAAACAAAAGAAGGGTCCCGGGATCATGTGATCCCCTTTTGCGGCCTTCTGATCAGCAAAGTCCATGGGGGAAGCCAGATTCACTTAACGACCGTGGTACTAACTTACCCACTGCAGTGATTCACCAAAGAAGTGCGTTACTAATTAGCGTCTGCAGCGACTCGCGTAAGAACGGAGGCAAGGAAAGGCTGTAACGTGTGTCAAAAGCCACTTAAACAAAGGTCTCACTTAACAAGAAAGAAAATGGTGGTCGTAAGTCGAGGGCTGCCTGTACTCGGGACACTTTACTTGGTCCCGAATTCAGCGGCCGGGTTATTCGGCTGGATCACGCCCGATCCCGATTTAGCAAAAGAGGGGTTTCCCACAAGCGCTTACCTTTCCCCTTTTTCGAAATCTTCTCTTCCAGAACCACCCTCTGTCCATCAAGGCTGGAGATGGGAGCCCCGAGATCTAAGGGTTCTTGCTCGCCGTTCTGTCATCAAATTCAGAAAAAAAAACCCGGTGGTTTTAGAGGAACTGAATTTGTGGCCAGCACCGTAACCGTGAGTTAGCGCGAATAAAGCAATCGGGATTTGGATTNTGGCCCTTGGGCCTCCGCTTTAAAGTTTGTACCAAGTAGATTTGCACGTGACCAAGTTGTGGAAACTCACAAGATGACTTTAAAAAAAACAAAACCATTAGCTCCGAGTAGCATCTCCTCGTTCATTTTCTCCAGGTCTTCTAGAAACAGGCTTTTTTTTAATTATTATTAGTTGCATTTGATGGGAGGGGAGGAAGCAATTAAGGAAGCAAACAAAATGGTTAAATAAAGAAATGTATAATTTAAAGTGTTGTGTTGTGTTGCCCAGAGGTTGGGAGAAGAGAGCTGGCTTAGAAAGCAGCTGTGAGAAGCGAGGGGGAAAGTGAACGATTTAGAGACGAAACACGCGAATTATTTGCAGCGTGGTTGAAAATCATCCGTATCTGCAGAGTTGCACCCCGTCAACAATTCTGCCTTCCATACCGTCCTCTTTTTATTTTGACGTCCTCTTTATTTATTTATTTTCTTTTCTGTTTTTCGCATCTTCTTCAGGGCAGCAAATGGGAGGACTCACTCCGGCTGCAAAACAACTTTTCAAACACATTATCTGGTTGTCCCGTTTTCATTATAAAGCAGGGCTCATTAGCAGGAGCTGGCCGGAGCCTGAAAAGTGCTGCGTTATTGTTTGTCTCCTTTATTGGCGTGGTGCGGGGGCTGAAAGGGATCGTCAGGATGATGGAGAAGAAGAAAAATTGGACTGAGCTTTTAAAGTGCTCAAAAAAAAAACCTCGTTGACGTTTGTAATATATGAATGATGATGGATCCTCAATTTCCGAAAATGCAATGTGGCGTCATCGTTGGCTCCAACTGTTTTAAAAAGTTGTGTTATGCTTTAAAAGTTTCCCATTTTTCAATAATTCACATTGTAGAGTGAAACACAAGCAATTTGAGGGGAGCAAGTATTTGAAGAGCATCTAACACAGGGAGGTGTCCAACCTTGGGAAATTTTAAGGCCTGTGGACTTCAACTCCCAGAATTCCCCAACCAGCATAGGGGATTTAAGACCTATGGACTTCAATGGACTTCAACTCCCAGAATTCCCCCAGTTAGCATAGGGGATGTAAGATCTATGGACTTCAACTCCCAGAATTCCCCCAGTTAGCATAGGGGATATAAGACCTATAGATTTCAATGGACTTCAACTCACAGAATCCCCCAACCAGCGTAGGGGATATAAGACCTATGGACTTCAATGGGCTTCAACTCCCAGAATTCCCCAACCAGCATAGGGGATTTAAGACCTATGGACTTCAGTGGACTTCAACTCCCAGAATTCCCCAACCAGCATAGGAGATATAAGACCTATGGACTTCAGCTCCCAGAATTCCCCCAGTCAGCATGGGGAATTTTAAAACCTGTGGACTGCAACTTCCAACATTTTGAGAATTGAAGTCCACAAGTCCTAAAGTTGCCAAGGATGGACACTCTTGATCTCAGGGAAGATGTTCCTCTGCCATTCTAGAAGATGACCCAATAGGTGGCTGAATATTTTTCATTGTTCAGAATAGGGACAGGGTAGTTGTGAAGGCTTTAGGATGGGCTGTGTGGTTCCCAGAAACCATGGGACCTACCTGCCAGGTATTCTCCCTCCCCACTAGTAGAAGAGATGGGGAAAGCATTCATACCATTGAGTGAACAAGAGGAAGGATGAGATTTCACAATAGATACAGTATGGCCAATGACTGTAGTCTTGGTTAGTTGCCTAAGGACAGAATTTCTGGATCTTCCTTCTCTGCAGAATAACTTTAGAGTGGGCAAAATTACTGGCCATCTCCACTTCCCAGTTTCCTGCCTTCCACATGTGCTGAGTCATGGTGCCTGGGACCTGGTGATTGTTACTCCAGCACATCTGGAATTCATCTCATGGAGAAAACCCATGGTAACAAAAAAAAAGCCCTGAGGGTGTGTTGCTAAACTTTGGGACGGAGGTTCCACGGAGCAGGTTGACTTTGGACTGTCAAACATCTTGGAGAATTTTCTTCTTCTTCTTCTTTCCTTGGAAGACATTTCGCTTCTCACCCAAGAAGCTTCTTCAGCTCTGACAGGATGGTGGGGAAGGGAAGGATTTATACTCCTTGCAGACAGCCGGTCATTTGCATCCTTTTAGAGGGTCCCTGAGGCCACTTGGAGGTTTATCTCTGTCCTCAGGGTCAGCTGAGTGGTGCAAATGATTCATGTAGTCTGCAATTGTTCCCCCTCTGGAAATCCATTCCTACTCCCACCCCATTCCAAGGGACTTCATCCCAAATTGTATAGCTAAAAGTCGGTAGAGATTCTCCGTCATCCAGGTCATGGTTGTCCCAAAGGTGCTTTTTCAGGAGGCAGCTGGACTACATTTTTTTCCCTTGAAGACATTTTGCTTCTCATCCAAGAAGCTTCTTCAGTTCTCAGTTGCCTCCTGAAGAAGCGCTTTTGGGACAACCATGACCTGGATGATTGAGAATCTCGACCGAATCTTGGAGGGAAAAGAGCAGATGGCCGATAGATACTCTGACCAAGGTAAGGAGAAGGCTACCCTGGAGGGCATGGGGTAGATGGCATCCAGAAGTCACGAGCAAGGAACAAACAAACAGCCAGGAGTGCAAAGGAATGCAAGAGATTTGGACAATAGTCCAGAAGTAAATGGAGGCTCAAATTGTATGGCTCGGAATCAGCAAAGCAATATTTGCGGTATGGCCAGCAGCCACATTCGGTAATTTAATTTTTGTTCTTAGTTCTTGCAGTAAGACTTTGCAGTGTTGGCGGCGGAGGGAGGGGGGGATCCAACCAATAGGTTTGAAGGAGGCTGCATGCGCATCACAGCCATGTATGAATTAAGCATCTCTGTCTTTCGCTCTCTGTCTCTTTCTGTGTCCGTGTGTGTGTGTGTCTGTCTGTCTATCTCTCTGTCTTTGTCTCTGTCTCTTTCTCTCTCTGTCTCTCTGTCTTTGTCTGTCTCTGTCTCTGTCTCTGTCTCTCTCTCTCTCTGTCTCTCTGTCTCATGTTTTTGTGTCTGTCTCTGTCTTTCTCTGTCTCTGTCTCTCTCTGTGTGTGTGTCTATCTGTCTGTCTCTTTCTCTCTCTGTCTCTCATGTTTTTGTGTCTCAGTCTCTGTCTGTCTCTCTCTGTCTCTCTCTCTGTGTCTCTGTCTCTGTCTGTCTCTGTCTGTCCCTCTCCCTCTCNACAACAATCCGGGTCCTCATTTTACCCACCTCGGAAGGATGGAAGGCTGAGTCAACCTTGAGCCAGTGAGATTTGAACCGCCGAACTGCAGAACTCCAGTCAGCTGAAGTAGCCTGCAGTGCTGCATTTAACCACTGCGCCACCTCGGCTCACTTAAGTGAACCATTATAAGTTGAGGACTACCGTACTTAATAATTCAGTTGTTAAGGAGAATCTGATATTGCAACCGTCGTAAATGTGAACTGAGATGTGTTAGGAGTGGTGCGGTGGCCTAGAGGCGGAGCTCACAATCAGGAGGCTGTGAGTTTGATCCTAGGTAGAGGCAGACATCTCTCTCTCTCTCTGGGCACAATGAAGAATATATATCTGCTGAACAAAACTCCGCATTGGCAACAAGAAAGGCATCTGGCCAGTAAAAAAAACAACCTTCAGTTGCCCAGATTCCACCCCGCAAGGGATTACGGGGTTGTTAAAAAAAAATAATTAAATGTGAACTGGTTGCTAAGCTCCTGGATTTTGATCACATGACCATGGGGACGCAGCCACGGTCATAAGTGTGAAAAATGGTCGTAAAGGAGTGGGAAGGGGGTCGGAGCAGGTTTCTGGTCTTACCGAAACAACGTCCTTTTTTCTAAGCGAAGGGTTTGGGAATCCAGAATGCTGCTGTCCTGCTGCAGTACGAGTGGCTGTGGACAGACGGAAGGACAGAATCACATTTAACGTCACACTTGATGGGTGAAATGAGTTAACAAACCGAGAACTTTCAAGGTTGCCCCTTGAAGAGTAGAAACTTTTACTCCAGGGAAAACACCTGGAGATGCCTTCAGCAGAGGTTTCTGATCGGTTATTGGTTTTCTTTCCATTTAATTTAAAGCCCGTTGGAACTATTACAAAAATAAATAATGCAATTTGGTCATAGTTTCAATCAGTCAGAACAGAGCTGGAAGGGACCTTGGAGGTCTTCTAGTCCAGCCCCCTGGTCCAGCAGGTGACCCTAAACAATGTCAATCAATCAATCAGAATAGAGCTGGAGGGGAGCTTGGAGGTCTTCTAGTCCTACCCCCTGCTCAAGCAGGAGACCCTAAACAATGTCAATCAATCAATCAATCAATCAGAATAGAGCTGGAAGGGACCTTGGAGGTCTTCTAATCCAGCCCCCTGCTCAAGCAGGGGACTCTAAACAATTTCAATCAATCAATCAATCAATCAATCAATCAATTAGAATAGAGCTGGAGGGGACCTTGGAGGTCTTCTAGTCCAGCCCCCTGCTCAAGCAGGAGACCCTAAACAATGTCAATCAATCAATCAATCAATCAGAATAGAGCTGGAAGGGACCTTGGAGGTCTTCTAATCCAGCCCCCTGCTCAAGCAGGGGACTCTAAACAATTTCAATCAATCAATCAATCAATCAATCAATCAATTAGAATAGAGCTGGAGGGGACCTTGGAGGTCTTCTAGTCCAGCCCCCTGCTCAAGGAGGAGACCCTAAACAATTTCAATCAATCAATCAGAGCTGGAAGGGACCTTGGAGGTCTTCTAGTCCAACCCCCTGCTCAAGCAGGAAACCCTAAACAAAATCAATCAATCAATCAATCAATCAATCAATCAATCAATCAGAATAGAGCTGGAAGGAGCCTTGGAGGCTATTGGGGTGGTATGTAAGTCCAAATGCTATCGCTATCGCTAACCTCTGCCTCCCTCTTGGAAAAATGTAGCCTAAAAATGAATATATATATATATATATATATATATATATTTATATATATATT